CAACGTCTGACCCCACGGCACCCAGAAACCTGTTCCCCTCAGGGGCCATGGCCCGCGGTGCGGTGCAGCCGCACAGAGCTCCGCACAGCCTCTAAACACGCAGAAGAGTGGCTCCTACAAACCAGTGCCCACTCCGAATGAAAACTGTCAGCAAACTACAGACGAAACTGCCTCCACCTGACAAAAGGCAGCTGTGAAAAAAACTGTGGCCAACCTAAGTTTCACAGTAAAACAGCGCGCTTTCTCCCTGGGACTCGGAGAGAAGGGCCCCTTCCTTTTCATACCCGTTCAAAAAGCAGTAAAGCAGTGGAGAGCCTACGTAGGGCGAGGGAGGGGAGAGAGCGACAGCCCAGAAGTATGGAAAATGAGTACAATGCTCTATCTGGTAAGATAATGATTGTCCATATACAAAATCCTAAGAAATCTATAAAAATACCTATTGGAGCTGATAAATGAGTGCAGCAGACACAAGGTAAAATAAGTGTTTTCTTCTAAATGCCATCCACAGGAAGCTTCCTTGGATTCTTTTGGTCTCAGGGTGAGCGGCCAAGTTGGCGAAGCCTCTTTTCTCACAGAACTCTGGGATTTTCCTTTATGGTCCTTGGCTTCCATGCTCAGCACCCAGAAAGGGAAAAAGTACCGAGACCCACGGGCAAGTAAGCTTTGCACAGTGTGTTAAACGGCTTTCCCGTATGATAGCAAAATACCCAGTGTGGGGTCCTCACGAAGAAAAGAGGTTTATGGAGTTTACTGTTCCGGGCTTTGAATTACACACGGCACAGCTCAGGGCCAGGGCAGGTCCAGTTAGCTGAATCCCCTCACAGACGGAGGAAGGCAACAGTGGAGGTTCAAGCCAGCGCCTTAGGCCAGGAAGCAGAGGGAGCTGATGGGGCCCAGCTCTGTCTTTTATACCAAGTCCTAAGAGAGCTACCTCTGCCCCATGGCCTGAGGACCACAAGGGCCCTCCATTAAGGGGTCCCTCCCCTCTCCTCAACCTACCAGCACATGAGCTTTGGGGGGACACAAGCTCTAACCAAACCAAAGCAGGTGATAACTTTAAGGCATTCTTCAATGCAAAAAAATAAACCCCAGTTTTTCATGTGTGTGTCAGGCACTGTGTTAGATTCTTGAGACCCAGAGGTGAATAAAACAACTTCACCTGAGGGTTCATAGTAACATGAACTGTCACATGCATCTGAAGACACTGTGATGCTCAAATATTTTCAGAGAAAAAGAAAGGGGACCAAGATTATCTGGAAAAAATGGTTCGAACTTAGTTTCATATCATCAAACCCTTGAAAGTGAAAGACAGGCTTATCAGTTTTTAGTTATATAAATAGGAATGCATTAGGAACAGTGTTTACAAAAGCCTTATTGGCAAGAGACAAAGAAACAGTCTGTATCTTAGCGAGATTTTTCAGGAACTTCAGAAGCCCGCTGTCTCTTTATAATCCACATTCTCCATCCAGAAGCCACCCTCACCTTCCATCTAGTGATTTCCTGCTTTTGCCCTCATTGAAAAAATCTCCATCTGGAAGCCGACAGATTCTTGTTTGTTTACATAGATTCTTGTCAACAGAAGCTGTGTTTAAAGATTTTATTACTGGAGAAAAACTAATCTTTAGTTTCTGAAGTGCCAGCAGAGGTGGCCACCAACTTCCTGGAAGTGATTTAGTATCTGAAAGTTAAATGCTGTGACTCAAAAGGAGAGATAGTGTGATTTCCTGTGATTGTGACAATTATTTTTTAACAAAATAATTCCATTTAAATAGATTTTAAGCACTTCACTTCATCTCCTAAGTAATCTTCATAAAATTCAATGGATACTTGTTCTTTTATTTTCTTCCTCCTTCTCTAAAAATGGATGGCAGAACATTTCATTCATGGCATTTAGCTCAGTGGTTCCGCCTCCTGCCTCACACATGCAAGGTCCTGTGTTCAATCCCCAGTGCCAAAATGAGTACATAAAATAAAATATAGCCTGCCTAGCTCTCCACGAATACTTTCCAAGACACTGTGGGAATGCCTGAAACCGCAGATAGAAATGAGCCCTTTCTTCCTGTACACACCCATGGCAAAGCTTAATTCATAAATTAAGCACAGTGAGAGATTAGTAAAAATAACTGAAAGCAAAAACCAATCATAGCAATATGATGTAGGTAGAAGTTATGTGAATGCAGTCCTTCTCTCTGAAAAATAAATCAAGACAAATAGTAATATCTTCAGACCACATTCACTGTGGGTAACTAAAACTGTGCAAAGAGTAACTCTGAATGGTAGAACTCTTTTTCTCTTAGATCTTTTAAATATCAAAGTATCTGTCGGAAACAAAACAAAAAAGTAAAAGTGCATTGTGACAATTCCAAGTGTTCATCAAATTTACTCTAGTTGGGTTTGTTATTGTTGTGGTCATTGTAGCTATTTTATTTTGTTTTGAGACAGTTTTGAACAGGCTGGCTTTGAACTTGTGGCCCTCCTGCCTCAGCCTTCCATTAAGCTGGGATGAGGTCTACACAGCTAGCTTTCTGGTTGGTGTTTGGCACAGACACCTGCTTCCTTTACTTCCCTGGACTGTATTGCACTCTCATCTCATTCACCACGACAAGAAGCAATCACTTGAGTGATTCTGATCTCTTCCTAATCTCATATAAAATATATATCACTATGTATATGATACCCTTACAGAGTCAGTTAATAACTCCAAGTACAAGGGAATCAGTGCCACAGGATCAAACGCTTTGGCGGCTCGTGGGAACTGCTGCACGCGGACCCCCAAACTCCCCGGGGTCTCCCATCCCTGTAGTGGGGAATTCCCTGACTGGATGCCAGCCACACAGGGAGGCCCCGGGTACTCAGTGTAGTACCGATTCTGGACACAAGGTGGCGGGCTCGCCGGATATAATAAGGCTTCAGACAAGGTGAGACAGAAAGCTCAGAGGGAAAAAACCTAGAAAAAACGCGAGAATCTGGCCATACCGCCAAGGAAAATCAAAACTTCAAGAGAACTAGGCATTAAACATCTCAACAGAGTGGAGATGTTACAAAATAGTAAGTCGTCTGGTAACCATTTAAAAAACCTTGTTTTTCCAGTGTAATCTAACAATATTGATGTTGTCTGGTCTCAAACTGTATAGTGGTAATAAATATTTTATTCTCTTCTTCATTTTTCTTCTGAAATTGCTTTAGCTCAGATTACTTATATATAAATTTGCAGTTGTCCCCTCCAACCCTCACTGGAGGTTGAATCCAGGGCCTTTGCACTGAGCTACATCTCCACCCCTTATTTTTTGAGACAGACTCATTAAATCCCTAAATTACCCAAGCTGGGCTCAAACTTGTTATCCTTCTGCCTCAACCTCCCTAATAGCTGGGATTCTATGCCTCGATGCCTGCAAGCTAAACTGGTAATCATTTTTATAATTTTTTTTTTTGCAGTGCTGGGATTATAGGTATGACCAAAATTTTCAGTCTTCACAGAAGAATACTTAAAAATCTATCCAATATAAAATTCCAAAACATTTTTAAATAGACTGTATCACATCAATTTATTCAAAGGCCATCAGCATATTTTAATGACATTTCAGGTTAACATTAAAATGATCATAAGTTGTGCTCAGATATATGTATAGTAATTTAATGATGAAACAGGGACTCCAGTGTCACTTTTCTTCATGGAGGAACACACTGTAATGGTGGGTGACAAGGGAAGTAGCTTTCGTACAAGGTGTTTTCTGACCTGTGGACATGCTCTCTCCTCAAATGACATATAATAAAGTCAGCTAATGGCTTCGTAGTGTTTGTCAGGTAGAGCCCTTCACAAACATCTACAGATTTCAGTTAATTCAGACTGCACCACACACATTTGAGAGCAATGCTATGCTGAACCCCGCGTTAGCTGAGGAACGTGACAAAGTTGGCAGGGGCAGAGGAGGGATGCGAGACTCCACAGGTTGGATTCAGAGTCCAGGAACTGGAGCAGCTGCTCTTGGCAGCAGCCCTCTGTCACAGCAGAGTGAGGCATTGTTAGGTGGGTGAAATTCACAGTCGAACATGAGTTCATTGTGTCAAGAGTTTGGAAGCCCCGGTAATGAACAATGTAGTAACAGTTCAGTTCTGTTTCCGTGTTCCGCAAAGAAATTAAGCCAGCGTGTCTGTCATTTTATTTGGCCCATGGGAAACCGCCAGTTAAAATAGGAACAAAACAGGAGAATCTCCACTTAAAATTATTTTAGATGAATATATTTCAGAAAAACAATTACACATTCAACTATTGATTCCTTTAGATTGTCCCTCCAAAGCCTGAACCCAGTGACAGCAGAATTTCCCACACAATTAAAACAGTGCGTACACATCTCGGTCTGTGTAGAACATGGGTGTGGGTGTGTGTATCCACCTGAGCAGGCACATGTTCTCAAAGGTGGAAAACTGGTTTTCTTCCGCGTATAGTTTTATGTGAAGACAAGCAAAATCATTTTGAGGTAAGATGGGTGATGATGCAGATTTAAGCAAAATTAATGTGAGGTAAAATAGGTCTTGGTGGAAATAAGGCTCGGCCTCTAACATGTAAGCCACCCACAGCCTTCACTCTCTCTTGCAAAGGACTCAGGTTAACTTTGAAATTTAATTCCACAAGGTGAATCTGTCATCCTCCCAGCAAGGTATTTCTGGTCGTTCTTCTGAATGAGTTAGAAATGTGGATGGTGTCTTCTTTGTACTTGAACTCCACAGTTTCCCAGGCTGTGCACACTCGGCACCCATTGTGGTGGAAACAGCACAATAGAACCGCACCTCAGGTGTAACACTGCGGCGGCACAGACATTTAGATGGCCTGCCTTCGTCAACAGTCCACCAGAAGAGTCTTTCATTTCTAAACTTCACTGAGGCTTAGTTTTACGTTAGTCTCACATCTGTGGGGGAGCACACCACTCCTGAGCCATCCGCAGGGACCCCGACAGGCCTTCCGGCCGGGAGAGGATGTGCTCGCCGCGCCACCTGCTGGTCAGACTTCAGAAAAAGCGGTGCAGAGCGCCCCCGCCAGGATGGTGCAGAAGGCGAGGCCCAGCAGGAGGTAGTTCCGCAGACCCTGGGCAACAACAGTATAGTAACAGTAAGGGTCACAGCCTCAGGGACGCTGCCGTGGTAAACCTGATCGGACGCACAGGAAGCAGGTTCTTCCAGGACCGCAGGAACTTACTGCCCTCTGCTGTGCCCCGGCGTGCTCTCTAGTAATTATCCAGATTCTCTCAAAACCCGCCGTCTTCCCGACTCGCCCATCCCTTCGGGTGAGTGCAGGTGAACAGCTGTGCGCTGTCACGCAGCCAATCGAGTAGCACAGAGAAGAATCGGGGAACCCCGGGCCGGGACCGCACCAGCGGGTGTCACCGTGCAGAGCCCCCGTCTAACCATGCACTGTGTCCGTCCTAAAGCTGTCAGGAGGCCGGGAGCCGAGCTCCTAGCTGCCGCTATCGACCGCCTGCCCAGGGAATGGGGTGGCGAGGAGGATCCAGGTAGGAGGAACTTCAGGCGCAAAGAGAAAGCACGAGGCTTTCCCAAGACAGCAAGGAGGACGGTGCTGCTGGAGCAGTGAGCGGGAGGGGGGCAGACTGGCACGCCTGCAACCCCAACTGCTCCGGAGGCCGAGGCAGGAGGATCTGGAGTTGGCAAGACCTTATCTGAAAGGGAGACTGGGGTGGGGTGGCTAGAGACCTAGATGGGCGGGGAGGCACCCCTTGGTTTGGTTTAATGGTGCAACCCCCAGAACAAATAAAAAGAAGAGGCTCGGAGTCCAAGAGTCTTTGCTTTGGGATTGTGTTTTTCTCAGCCAGGGGCACTTGCCTCAGCTGGAGATCAGGTCTGCACTCCTTAAAGCTGCTTGCACTGTTTAGCTGGAGGATTAACAGAGGAGAGAGGGCAAAATGGATGCCCAGAAACCAGTAACAGGCGACTGCACCGAGAGAGATGCGCAGAGGCTCAGAGAGTGACACAGACGGACTTTCTCAGCTGTGTTTGGGGCCGAAGCTAAAGCTGGGGAATGAGTGTCACGTCCTAGGGCAGCCCGGCCCATCTTCTGATTAACTAAGGATTGTCTCCCTGGGTTAAATAGAAATATGTCCTGTAAGATCCATCTCTAAATCTGGGATTGTGCACTGCTAAATCGACTTTGATATCTTCCTCACAAGCTAAAGCCTCAACCCCTGAAAAAGAGCCCTCCCCTCTCCCCAGGGACATCTCCTTTCCGGGTCAGAACTTCTGCTCCTCCTCTCTGAGCCACTGCCCCTTGGTTTCTGTCCCTGCTCTGGATGTGGAAACCAGGCAAGGGCTTAGCGTCCCAAAATAAAGCAGAAATGGACTCCATCTGCTTAGGGGTATGGTCTTGGTTATGGGTCTTCTTTTAGCCAAATTGTGTGCTATTATTCTTTTAAAAAGAAAAACAGCAATGATTTAGTTGTAAGTCTTATAGAAGTCACTCGGGTTCTTGGAGGAAAGTGGGAAATGTGATGAAGTGCCTTGGGACAGCAGGTCACGCAGCCCGTTTCACCCTGCAGGAAGAGCTGTGGCCTCTCTCGTCCTGACCCTGGCCTCTCCCTGCCAAGCTCAGGCCTCAAAGTGCCCACATCTAGGGCCAAGCTTCAGGGCAGTCCTCAGGAAGGGGACGCTGTGTCTCCAGGGAAAGAGTGGCCTGGCTCTTAAGTGTAGTGACCTAGGCTGGGTCAGGGCATCCAGGCCTGGGCACCCACGGGATGGGGAGCAGGACGGGAGCTGGGTTCCTACAGCCACAGCCGGGCCTGCAACTGGAGGCCTGGAGAGACCCAAGCACCCTACAGAGATGCTACGGTGGGGAGTGTGGGTCTTTCCCGTCCTTTGCCAGGGGAAGCTGTGACCACAAATTCTGCAAGTCAAACCCAGCAGCTGAAAGCCTCACTGAGTACGGAGCAGCTCCTCTCTGTCTCTCTCTCTCTGTCTCTCTCTCTGTGTCTCTCTCTCTGTCTCTCTCTCTCTCTCTCTCTCTCTCTCTCTCTCGCACACACACACACACCCCGCAGTAAGCCTTGGGTTTCTCAACCTCCTCTCTATTCTCCATCTTCAATTTAACCTCAATACTAGTACTAGTGTGGAAGAGGGACTCCAATAAATATTTTTTCAAAAGATGAATACACTCAGGTGATTTCCAAGCATACTTTGTTAACCCGAAAGACAATGAGAAATCTGCAATTACATAAAGTGGGTAATTATAACCAGCCTATAGGCTAATTATAGCAGGATTTTTGCTAAAGGTTTTATTATCTATGTAGACAGAAGATTAATATTTTCAAGAAGTAAAAAACACTTCACTTTAAGGGTAAGGCTCTGTCAAACTATCCAGTCTTCTACAGAATGACTGATGATATTTTGTCAATAGAAATAGGTTTTCTGTGACAAAGGCAAATATCAAGTCTTTGAAAGACCACACGGACACCCTAGCAAGAAAGTTTTAAACGTGAATTTCTAAAGTATCTTCTAAATAACAGATAATCTCATGTTTTAACCTGAGAATAACCACCAACTATAAATTATGGAAGTGTTCACTGTTCTGGTGTCTCTGGACACACACTGATGTGAGTGTGTTGGTGAAAATATATAACCTCTATCTAGCTTGGCAGGGTAATTCTCTGAAACAGATTCCCCCCAATAACAAATGTCAGACACCAAAGACCATCTGAAGTGTGAAATTTCTCAGTAGATGGCCTTACAACTAAAGCAAATCCTGCAGTAATCAAACAAAAGGGGTGCACATCTCAGGATCAGGGCTGGTGGTTGCAGATTACAGACTTTTAAAGATGTAGAATTTGTAAACATACAAATATGTACTTTTTGTTATTTTTCTTGGGTGTGTGTAAATTTTGTGATTACTGATGTCATTTTTCTCTTTTTAAGTGGTTAATGGTGATATATCAGAAAAGTATTGATTTTCTAATGTCCTGCCTCAAATTTTACCAAGTGTTCTTATTGGATTTTAAGATTTTTCAGCTAATTCTTTTAAAATTTCAAAAAAATTAATGTTACCTGCAAGAGATAATTTTTCATTTTCTTCCCTGTGCCTATTGCTTTTGTTTCTTCATCTTATCTTACCAAACTTGCAGAGCTATGGAAAAATATTGAATAATAGTGGTGATGAAAAAGTCTGTGACTTCCAACTTACTGAGAACTTGTGTTTCAGCTCAGATGTGCTAGCTCGCTTGTTTGTTCGGTGCTGGGGAAAGATCAAACTCTCTGCCCCTGAGCCATTCCCTGAGCCCATGCCAGGGTTTTCTCATAGATATCCTGCACTTGGACCAGCTAAATCTTCCTTCTCTTTCTAACCTAAGGTGTGAAGACAGTGCACGCCGTCATCCTTTTCCTCTGTCCAACACTGTGGCACACAATATTAAGCTGCGTAGATTTTGAGCTGTCCTTGAGTTCCCGAACTGAACATGAGCTGTGATATTGACCTCAAAAGTTACTTCTCTATTCTTGGTGTGAGGTAGCTTTAAAAAAAATATCTTTAGGAAACAAAACAACTGCCTTTGAATGTCCTTTTAAAGAACTCTGAAGAATCAGTGTTCAACTTCCTGGTTACGGACTCTGTCTTTGAAGAAAGTTCTTACACATAGGTGAGAGGACTTTCAAGGCAGTCTTACTGTATTAGTAACTGAAGTGATTTCCAAATGCTTTATAACAATTCTACTCTTAGCTTGTGCTTTTTTACACTTCTCATTGCAAAACCTCTACAAATATTAACATACTTTTCTATGGTACAGGGTCTTACATACCCAATTCTTAAATAGAAATGATAATTTTTGAGGAAAATAAAGTATTTGCAGGTAGATTTGTAATGTTGTGGGCATAAAGCTCCTTTCTGTAGAAAGAACTTCAGCTTAAATAAATGGGGAATGTGCATGAAAGTCACTTATGGATCTATAAAAATTTTAAGTTGTTCTTGGATATATAAAAAATAAAAATTCACTACACATTCTAAATATTTATAAAAACTTATTGTTGATTTAACTTGGGAATCTCACTTGTATTATGAACTTATGCCTTTTCTAATCAAAATATTTCATTTAAAATTAATGAAATGTTTTAATTTTAAAATTGAATGCTTTAAAAATATTTTTATTTTGAGACAAAGTCTTGCTGTGTAGTTCAGGCTGGCCTTGAACTCACTACATAGTCCAAGCTGGCCTAGAATTTATGGCAATCCTCCTGCTTCAGCCTCCTGAGTGCTGGATTACAAGTGTGCATCACTACGCCTTGCAATATGTTTTATTTGTTTTGTTTTTGGGGGTTTCTTTTTTTTTTTGGTACCGGGGATCGAACTCCAGTCTTTGCTCTTGCAAGGCAGGCTGCAGAACCACTGAGCTAAATCCCTGGCCCATGCAATACTTTTTAAAGATCAGCTAAAAATATATCATCTTACGGTTCCCAGTGAGTCCCAAAGTAAGATCGTTTTAGGGGCAAGAATTATTTGTTATGATGCTATATATTTAGACAGAAAATTCTATATATGAAGCCTCAACACATGGTCTTTGATTTATACTGTCTTTAATAAATACTATTACAAAATTTTATTAACATATAGTCTTCAACTGAGGAATTTTTATACAGCTAACGTGAAGTGGGAAAGTTTTCATATATTTTCGGTACACTTTTCCGGGAATCCTGAGCTCCCATCATTACCCTGAAAGAGAGAATGGCAGCTGTGGCCGGCTTTTGCTGTGCAGTCTTTAGCTTGACACAGAGGCCTCTGGGAGTCATGGAGATCAACAGAAAGACACAGCCCCAAATTCCACCTGCCTCAGGTATCTTTTTAACCCTTGGGGTACAAAATCTTTCGTCTTATTTATCATTCCATAGCATTTTACCTGCAACAAGCTACCTTGTTGGGTTACTTAACTGTTTTCCCACTTGGGAGCGGGTGGAGAGGACCCTGATATTTCACAGTAATGAGAATAACTCCAGTACTTTGTTTTCAGTTAGGTATTAGGACATTTTGATCATGTGAGCTGTCAAACTCCTGTGTTCTGTCCTGGCTTTAGGAATCGTGTGCAGTTTTCAGAAAATAACACTGTAGCACTACACACACACACACACACACACACACACACACACACACACACTCAATATTAAATACCCTTCTTACCTGGATGAATTCCTAGTTTCTAAATTTGCCCTTTCTTATACATACCTGTATTTCCTTAAAAATGAAGACACCCCACAATGCAGCTATAAATCCTGGACCCTTAAATAAAATAACAAAGGTTAATTAAATTGAACATTTTCTTATAACTGTGATCTACATTCATATATTAAATTGAAGGCGATGTAAAAACATTTTCATCAAAAACTCTGCATAACCTCAACCCTGTCTCCACACCAGGCTACATAGTGAGTAACATTAAGGACAGTGCGAGTGCTTGTTTTTCATTTTTCCTTCGTGGTCTTTCTGGTTATTTTGACAATGTTATGTTTGATGCCACAGAATGCTTTCCTTGAATGTGTGATTTATGATCACCTATGTTAGTAAGCAAAAAGCTTACGTTTTCTCCTGACTTATTTCTTCACAGACTGGATGGGATTAATAAGATAAAGTATATGAACAAACTTGTAACTTTCTTTAGCATTAGATAATTTCATAATTAAAGAGATTTTAGCATTTTGGGGGCCTGTCATATAATGAGCATATGGAAACAACCCCATACTTTTAAAAGAATTTTTACATCTTACAATTGCAGTGCTACAAAGTATACTTGACATTAAACACAAATGCTAAAAAGTACTTATAAAGAAAGATAAAAGAAGTTAAAAAAAAACACACACAAAAGGTGTTACTGTACAGGATATGAGGACAAGAATGAAATAAAATAGGGCAAAGGAAATGAAAAGACATGAAAAAAAGAAATGATTCTGTGATTTTTGAACTCCGAGCTATTTGATTTTGATGTCATTTTTTTTTTTTTGGTACCAGGAATCGAACACAGGACCTTGTGTTTGCCAGGCAGGCTCATAGCTTCTGAGGCTGAGCTGTGTCTCTGGTCCTATGTTAATTCTTTTTTAAACCAACAAGGAAGAGAACGGATTTCATCCCTGGTTGGTCTTCACAGCGAGGTGCATCCTACCAACATTTGTAAGGATTCGTCTCCAAAGCCCGGGAGAATTCTGCATGAGTCTCAAACAAACGATTCCAAAACGTTTTCCCCACCGCTGCTCCAGTCTAAGTGTCAGGCGCGACTCCGCTCCAGACACGGCAGTGAAGCCACACAGGTGCTTGGCTCTGTTCCTCAGCATCTGCAGATCCGACATCGAAGGGCCAGAGAGGTAGGTCGAAGGCGCTGCTTGCATCAGTGACTTCAAACCCTAAGCCTCAGAATCCACATCCAGTGAGAAGCACCTGGGTCTGTCTGCCAACCCCGAGCGGACCGAGGGTGGGCGGAAACGAAGAGAGGAGGTAATGCTAATGTGACCTAGATCGTGCGAGAATTTTTGTTCTCTTCCCTCCAAAAGTTCATTTCCCTTTCAGGACTGCGGTAGAAGACAATACGCCGGGTGGCACTGCTGTCTGAGGCTGCATGGTGATTCTTGTCTCACCAGGTAGTCCAAACTGGCCTTGAATTCGCCATTCTCCTGCCTCAGCCTCCTGGAGTGCCGTCCCTGGATTTTCTGAGTTACTGGTTTAGACACAGCCGGCCGGCTAACTGCTGAGAGGAGGAGCCGGGACGTGAGGGGCAGGGTCCGCTGAGAGTGATGCAAGCCCACGTCAGCCTCTGCCAGGCTGCCCCGAGGGTCCGAGGGGAAGGACGCCGCGCAGGGAGACGTAGCCGTTCTCATGACCGGGATGCACATTCTCCTTTCGTGAACGAACACACATTTCATGTGCTCCAGCCTTGCAGAACACGGCGGGCTTGGTCTTATTTTAAGAAGCTGACACTGTAGACGAGCTGGTGTCACTTCTAAAGATCTCTCAGGAGACCTGGGGCAGAGGCACAGGTCCTGGCCCTGCCGAGGGCTTCTGTCGCTCTCTCTTTCCCTTCCCCTCCCCTCCCTCCTCTCCCTGCATTCCTGCTCTCCACCCCTCTTCTCTCTCTCTCTTCGTTTCTCTGTCCCTTCCTCCTCCTTCCTTCTTGCTTTTCAGTCTGATGCGATTTGCCAGCTGTCGGTGTCCCCTGAGGGCTCTGGAGAGGACCTGCATGCAGGGAGCTGTGTTCCGCCCGGGAGATCTCAGGACGGAGGCCGAGAGCCCTGGAGCTCACAGGGGCCAGTCCGCGGCTTCACAGCTCAGGGGCCTGAGGGAGTGGGGCCTAAGTGGAGAAAGCAGGTCACCAGGGCTGGCCAGAAAGTGTATCTTGGCCCCAGCCCCTTGCTCTCCCCTGTTCTCTCCCTCCCTCTCCTTCCCAGCTGCCAAGAGGTGAGAGGCTTTGTTCCGCCTCACCCTTCTGCCAGGATATCTCTGCCCTGCAGTCATCTGACTAAAAACTGAATCCAGGAGCCATATTAGCTCCTCCTTCAAGTTTCTATTCTCAGGCATTTCGTCAAAGTCGTGGAAAACTGACTAATGCCACAAACAAGAAACTGCCAGCGTATTAAAGATGAAGAGCTGGCATTCCCATCAGAATGAAGGTCTGGTCCATCTACCTCCATCTTTCCACTTTACTCCCAAACAGGCAAACTCCTCGGCAGTCCTTGGTGCCCCACTAAGATTGCTTCAGAACAGCAAGATTTGCATTTGGAAAACACAAATTCAGAAACACATTTTGGCACTTACAGCAGTGATTATTGGGAAACTGACCACGGCACTGAGAGAGTGATTAGCTACGAACCAGCAGCAGGTAGCTATTGCCCAAAGCACTCCTGACAGGAACCCTGAAACAGACAGCACACGTTTGCTGGGGAAGTTATTAGCTAAGACACTGCGAGGAGATCCGTGTGTGCAGATAAATGCACTCCTGTCAACAATGTTAGCTGTATGGATCTTTTTTTTTTAAAGTTGTGTTTTATGGTCACTTTCAAAACCAAATAATTTCTCTGTTCTTGGCTGTTATGGATAGAATGATCAATCCCTTCCCTTCGCTGACATTAACTAAAATACCCCAAGTACAGTTGAGGGGGAGACTGGGAAGTGGAGAGGGGCCTAGGGAAGCCCTGCATCTTGTCATGTCTTGCACACACCATTACTCTAGGCATAGACACAAAGAGAAGTCCAGAGTGATGCAGGAGCTGAGGGCAGTGAGTCTTGGCACAGAAGTGAAAGCATCAGCTAAATTTTTCACAACACTTCAGCTAAGGATTTGGTAAATATTCTACCATTTTTTCTGGATGATAGCCTACTAGCTTTACTCACTCAGCATCTAAAATGAATCTCTAAGTTATACTTTATTTTTATTTTTCTAATATTTTAATTGTGAACCTATATTCCAAAAGTGAATTACAGCAAACCCACATGAGAAATTATTATTATTTTAACAATCAAGGCCTAATGGGTTAAGATCAAGAGCAGGTATATTTAACATACTTTCTCTGAAATCTATAAAAATCCCTTGTTTTTTTTTCAAGAAACTTCTCCTAAGTGACCATAGATTCCTATTTGTTGACACTTTAGAAAAATTTTTATTGAGTCACTGAACTATGATTTTTTAATATGAATCCCTAGATGGTGAATAAGAAATAGCAAAGACTTATGTTCAATACAAGAAAAGTTTTGGCACAAGAAACAAATCTTAGGTTCGTGGTTCAGTAAATTTTAGACTCTGTAGTGACCAGCATTTCATGTCAAGTTTCATACTTTTTAAATACCTCATACAAGTTAGTGAACTAGGCCAAAGCAATTAAGAAAATGAGTAAGTACATACACACACACACACACACACACACAAACACACACATAGGGGATGGCTTGTTTTCCAGAAGAAAATTTGTTCAACCCAAGAACATACAGGATGATACTTCCACAGAGTAATAAGGTTTTCTGTCGCTAATATTCTTACCTGGTAAGACGGCTTCTGGATAGAGTTTGGGACTGTTTTTCATGGCTATGCAGTAGACCAAAAAGTAGACTGTGCTTGTAAGAAAGATGCCGCTGAAGTGTGCAAAAACGTAGTCTAAATCTGAAAAGACAGATTATAACACTTGCAAACAATATTTCAACCATCCCAAGAAAATAAGCTCACAAAAGTTAAAACTAAAAGTTAGAAAAACTTTAATTATCTTAGTTTTCCATGCACAATCTGCACAGAATTTTAATTAGCAGAATTAAAACCTAAAAATGTTAAGTATATGACTTACTGTAATGTACTCTAAAAAGTTAGTTTTTATGATCATCTTTGAAAAGCTAAATAAGGAGTAATGAACAAAATGCCTCCCTCTAAGAACAGGTATTCAGATCTAATTTTACCAGTGACTACGGCAACTGCAGCAAACACCCAGGTGGAGGACAGGGGAGATCCGGATAGAAACATTAAGAGGCACCGATTTCGCACGAGGCAGGGCTCCTTCTGGAAACTGGCATCTCTGATGGTGACAGTTACACAAAAGGATCATGCGGGGAGCCGTTCCAAAGGGGCGTTCATTCAGTTGTTTACTGCAAACCCAGCTACAAGAGGGGCACAGATAACAACCCAGGGCCTTGCCCATCTCTGAGAGACCCCAGCTTCAGGGACAGTGGGAGTGGACGGCAGTCTGGACATCCAGGGGTCTCTGTGGGCTCTTGGGTGAGGCAGCTTCATCACACTAATGTTCCTGGCAGTGACACTGGCAGAGATGAGTGGCCATGCTTAGGAATGGACCCGTGAAGGTCAGAAAGTCCATCTGTTCTTTTAAATCTTCAACTGTATTTCTGAGCCCTAGAGGGGCACTATCTCCATCTACAGACCACCACGAAGACAGTACAACACAGTGATGAAAAGCACAGGCTGCCTGGTGTGAATCCTTTTCTATCACTTACGCTGGGACTGGGGCACACTGCCTAAGGTCTTCCTGACTCAATTTCCTCAGCTGTAAAGCAGCGATCAGAACGGTGCTAGTTGCTATGAGGAGTAAAAAAGTTAGTATTTGCCAAGACCTTACAACATAGCACAATACACACATGTTTGTTAAATAAGTAAAATAAAACATAATGCCCTCCTGGATAAGTTTTGAATAACTGGAATAAAGAATGCTCCCGTCTGATGGCCTTCTGAGCTGTGGTAAGAAGCATTCCTAAGAGCTCAGTGTCCTATTTACTGAAAGAGATCACTGAAGACAAGGCTTGTGATGGCCCAGTACCAAGAACAACTTTGCTCTTGAACAATCACTTGTCTGTATCTCCTGCTCACTGAATCCTGGGGCTGATCTCATTTCCTTTGTGGTTGCAACAGAAACAGGAGGCCCCGCCTCATTTCTAGCAAGTGTAGTGGTGCAAATCAACGCCCTTAGACCCGTTCCTGATTCCTCTCATTTGCTCTCATGATGTTCTTTCTTTTAAAAAAATCATCCTATTTTTATTAGTTTTTAATCTTTTAAAATGAAAGGAATGAAAATACAAAAGAGTATTTTCATGCAATCTTACACGAAAGACAGAAGTCAGCAAAGCTTTCAGGTCTGTGTACAGCACCAAGAAGAAGGACAGGAGCGGTGGCGACCACCTGCTGCAACTCTGCCCACCCTGAAAGTCAAATCCGAAGCTCAACTTCTGCGTCAGTCTTTGCCTTAGGACTTTTGCTCTCAAATTTCTCCCGTATTGAACACAGCTCACAATGGTTTTCTGCACCATCTGACCGAGACTTTTACTGTGTTTCTGATCTCATTGCCTCATCGTGGGTGTGGACCATGTTTTGGGTAATTGATGGATCCTCCCAGCACTGCCTCTGTTACTTCCTTTTGACCCTGTTTAAGGCTACTGCATACAGTGTTGTGTTTACTCCCAAGATTAATGTAAGCACTGGAAACTGACATATTATCAGGAAGCATTACCTTGGGGTTTCCAACACCATTTTATGCTTGAAAAATAATATCCCCTCGCTCAATAGGCATTATTTTGACTTTTACTTGATTTAAAAGTACTATGTGCTACACTTTAGCCTTTTTAAAAGGGAGAAGAATATGTATTTTCCCAGAAATCATCAGACTGGAAAATAATCTCTATATCCTACTGGAAAATTAGAAATCAAGAGCTAAGATCCCAGTAGTTGATGTAAATCCTAACTAGTTGATTCAGTTTATATGTGAAAGATCACATAAAAATATGCAAACTTTGATTACTTTTAGTCTTCGGTGCCTTCCTAATGTACCACATATGAATGAAAAAGCAAGATCAAATTTCCACACTGATATTGCCTACATCACAACTCTTTACATTCCTAGGAAAGTAACGTTAATGAGTTCCTTAATAAAGTAAAGTGACATCTTCCTCTCACCGTACTGGCTTGCCCCGGCGTATACACTGTCATTTCTTTTGCCGTGGTCCTTGATATAAATGATCGGCACGAACGTAGACCCGTAGAGCGTCCCGGACATCACCGCGAGGCTGCAGCCCCTCAAGAACGAAAGACATCATGGTGACTCTCAGTGCAAAGCAACACTTCTGACAGACACACAAGTGGAGTGTGGCAAAGCGTGCTTCAAAATGAAGATCACAGCAATGCAGCAGAAAATCAGCCTCCCTCTCTCTCCGCAACGAGCAGAACTCAGAGGAAGACCCGCAGGGCCGAGCCGTCCAGAGGCCAGGGGAACAGCTCTGCCCCCCACCCCCGGTCTAATTCTGGAAGAGTGAGGTTTGCAGGGTTAATACTGGCTTTATCACCACAACCAGTCATTGTACACAGTGAGAGCGGGGTATTGCTACCATAGTCAGGTGTACAGTCTGCATAAAAAAATGTGCTTCTCAAATCCAACTCTGAGTTATTTGGGAAGCAGCAGGTGGCATGCTTCTTTTTAAAGCGCACTAAAATAGCCTGCATCAAAACAGGACAAAGTACTAAATATATTTTTGTTCAAAATAACTGTTAAGATCCACAGCCTTGCGTACGCATTAGTGGACTGCAGTATGGCTTAGGGGAAGTACTGATTTAATAAAATATCCTAGATATTCCACATAAATACATTCCTTTCTGTTTGTTTCTTTTGCAGTGCTGGGGCTCGAACCCCGGGCTTCTCATGTGCTGGACCTGTGCTCTGCTCCCCAGCTCAACATTTCTTCTTTCTTACAGGACAATGTTGTATGTAAAGCACTGGAGTTGGGCTGATCCATCAGACTTGCGGCTGTGTGAAACATTTCCAGGGTTTTTAGGGGGAGCTGATCACTACTCCTTCCAATGCTTAGAAACCAATTGCTGATTCTGATACTTCTCGTTTAAGGAACCGTCTTTAACCAGGTTCATCCAAGGGCTATTGAGACTCCTCTGGCTACCCCGGTAATGTTTTCCAGTCACATGGGAAGTCCCCAAGTTGGGTGAGGACAGGTTTTCACAGCCCAGCCAGCAAGACACAGGCTGGGCCTTGTTAATTGAATGACAACCAAAAATCTTTTTCTTAACAAGTATTCCGTTAATAGAGGAGGTGCTTTGTGAAAAACAAAATTTGAAAGTATTTGAGAAAAATATGTTTAGCTTGAAAGCTTTGTTTAATTCTAGTGCAAAAACAGCACTACCCTTATTTTCTCCAAGCGTGCTTATTTTTTTGTCCCTTCTTTCATTTATTTAATTAACTCAAATATTTATTGTATGGCTCTTCCCCACTCAGCAGGGAGTGTATGGGAAGGAGAGCTTTAGGCCTGGGAAGTACTCAGTGCTGGGCCACTTGCCAGCATGAGTGAGGCCCTAGGTTTGACCCTTTCCACTGCAACGAAAAAAACAGCTTTATATCCCCGAGTGCAAAGAAAGTATCAGCACACCAAGTCCAAAACAGTTTTGAGTGTGAAATGAAGGTGCACACTATTAAATATTTTTAAATTTGACAGTCCAACAAAACCCTGAAATCTATACCCTGACATAAAGGGGCCGATGTTCATTCAGGCTGACTCTCCAGGTGCTAGGATAGTGACCGGTAGAGAACGGAGTGTGTGGCCCCTTCCGCTGCGACTTCCGGGAAGTCACTCACACCCCTCTTTCGCTGTAGGCACAAAGCCCTATGAAATGAACTTGCTTTTCCACCTGCTTGCTGGTTCCTGATGCTGCAGCAGCTCAGCTTCCTTGGAGCAGCTGAGTCCAAGACCCCTCTCTGTAGTTAACAGCAGGGGATGAAGAAAACCTCGCCCGGAGAGCTAGACTGCAGGGTTTGCAGAGTGATTTTCTTTCAGAACTCAGATGAGAATCACTTTACTCCAGTCCCTGCTGCTTTACCCAAAAGTGAAGGAAGCACAGCCACAGAGCAGAGTGGCCCCTTTCCTTACAGCAGGCGGCGGTGCGCTGCCGAGAGTCTGTCCACCCAGGAGGGGCTGGCGCAGGGGTCTGGAGTGGAGTTGATCGCCTAGCGGGACATTGATACAAACAAAAACACAGCACGCTGAGTTGGCCATCACGTTGGGGACACAGACATTTCTAGCACTAGACATTTCCTCCTTCAGCTCACCTTAAACTATAAACACGGTACCTGTGTACTTTTGTTCCCTCCGGGTTACAGGCTTGATTCTGTCCTCTCCCTCTAACAAAGGCCTGGCAGTTGGCCAGTTCTCCATTTCTATTTTTCACAGTTTCATGTGGGCTATTTTGATATCCCTATCCAAACTCTAAAAAGTTATTAACTCTTGTGGTTCATGTGCATATTTCAACAGTCTCTAAAGACAGTGGAACTGAGAAAACGTCAGATTTTCCTAATACGGGATGCCTAAATTCAACCAGCACATTATACTGAGTTTTTAGAAACTGAATCAGTTAATGAAACCTTCCCAGTTATGTTTCAAGATCAGTCTAATGTTATAAGTCCAGGAAAGTATGAGCAAATTCATAATCTTTCTAGGGTTGAGTGTAATCATTTCTGCCTCTTAGCTGCAGGTCTTGATGTGATACCTACCTACCATGTTCACTTTTGTAAAATGTAAGAAACTAGATCTGAATTCTTTGTTATGTCCTAAGTTTTCCTCTGTCAGTGATGCTTTCCTTTCTGGAAGGAGCTCATGATGTGTGGTTTCAGGCTAACTAATCCTGTGGCTGATGTCTTTCAAATTAGTTCCTTCATGTCCTTAAACTTGGTTCGTATTTTTCAACCTTATCTAGAAAAATTTTGTTAGCTACTATGTACCTTTGACCAAGCTGTATTTATGTTATTATATTACTTTGTTTCTTTGTAAGAAACTTGGTTGGCTAGGATGTACCCAGATCTCTAAAGCAGGAAAGGAACAGCAGAAACCTTCTCCCAATCCTAGCATCTCCAGTCTCCTCCAAACATTGCCCTGGCTAGCCATGCCTGTGGATTAATAAACCCTTTCTCTCTTACCCTTAAGCAAATAATCATTCAGCTCTGGTGTCAGCTGAAAAATCTGAATCTCCTTTGCCAGAGGAGGAAGAAAAGGAGAAAGGAGTAGCTTTGCAGTGAGGGGCGGGGGGATCACTGCCTCAGTGGGGTGTGTGGCACTGGATTCTGAGGCAGTGAGACAGCGGGCTCACAGCAGCCACAAAAGCTGAGACGGGTGGACCAGCGCCCAGGTTCGTGGCACTTTGGTATACGCAGCCCCTGACACTTGCGCATCAGGGTCTCTCCAAGGTCACCACTAATCAACTCAGATTTGCTAGAAGACTGAGTTACATCTTTCAAGGTCAAAACAGTGACCCTGTACATATTCCTTTAAGCAGAACAGGAAGGTGGCCAAAAAGAGAACTAGGGAGAAACTCAAGTGCAGTTCCTACTTCCACAGGACTTCACGGACTCCCTCCCTGAATTCCTCGGCTACTTCTCCCCTAGGTCTACTTCAGAGGTACCTGCTTCTTTCTAAAGTTGCCTTCACATTGCTCTGTGGGATTTAGGGACCCCTACTGTACAAAACCTCAAATCATCCTATGGTACGGAGTCTTATGTATCCATCTTATCAGGGATCTACTTCTAATAAAAATGCACCACTGAACTGACTGAGATTTCCTGTGGTGAAACTGGTTGCTACATAAGCCTAGTCAGTCATAATAAATTTGCGAAGATAGTTTATGTAGCTATGAGTATCCAATAAACATCACCTGCTCCTCTCTGTCACAAATTTATGCATTTTCCTTTTACTTTATTTTGTTTCAAATCAAGTTGTTTCTGATAAAATACTCACATGCTCCGTCAGTAACGGCGTAGTATCCGTGGCAAGAGTGTTACGTGGTATTTCGCTTTTGATGAACAAAAATATGAAAGCACTGTAAAGAAAGTTTGTGTTAGTGCCTTTATCAAAACTCTGATTCATCTCAAGCTGCCTGATTTTTAAGAAAAAGCAACTCCAATCATCAGGTCTTAATGATCAGATATCATCTCCAGATCCTCCTCTCAGTGGTCTGGCCATTTCTTCAGAATTGCTATTGCCTTTGATGCTTGTCGCTTTTCTTGACACCTACAAGTTAAAAACGAACCTCAAGATTTCCTCCAAATCAGGTTCAGTGGACCTCTGAAACTCATATGAGTTATATTCCTAGAGTGTCCTTGAACTGAGAAAAACTGAATTTCAGAGAGGGTCAGGAAAATGCCTATTTTTGTAGTTTAAACCCTAAATATGCTATGTCTCTCACAGTTTTGTAATTTAATTTAATAAAATGCTCTATTAATAAAGTCTGAGAAGGTGAAGGGTGTTTTGGTGGCATCTTAGGGGTCTTAGGGCTTTAAGAACAAAACCGAGAACTTTTTCTAGCAAGGCACACTACATCCTCTCTTCTTCCTGTAGAAGCAAAAGAAGAGGTGACTTCCCCTTCGGTGTGAGGAGAGAACTCCTGAAGTACTGAGAAGAGTCACCACACAAGTTGTGCCAAGACCATTTACTACAATCCCACAGAATCATTTTTCCTCAAGATTTTCCAACTCAGAAGATAAGAACCACATGGTAAGTCCCCAACTTATGAACAAGTTGCATTCTGGGAGAATGTCTGTAAGTTGGATTCATTCCTAAGTCGGACAAAGTGAGTCTTATACAGTACACATGTGAAAGTTTGCAAGTCAAATGTTCATAAGTGGAGGACTTGAGGTATCATGAGTCTTCAAGGTCCTCAAAAAATTAACACTCAGTAATTGAATGCACAGGACCTAACCATATGTGTATATGTAAATGAATTAAATATATATGCGCATGTAAGTATTTTCATTAATGAATTTGGAAAGCTATTTCTAGACATTGTAGTATTTTCTCTGCTCTGTATAGATGTGTATATTTCTTAACAAATAATATAAAATTCTACACTAGAAACACTTGAAGTCTATACATGTTCTTGATTTTTTTTTCTAAATAACTATATGACACTTGTTGGAATGACTTAACATCTGTGAGCACTGCCCCTTTCATCTAAAAATAAGATGAAAGCGATGTACTCTCTTCTCAGAGCTGAAGTGAACATTAGGTGGTAACATGCACATAGTCTCAGTGCTCTGTCACCATGTGCTAGAACCTAAAATGTGTGGAGAGAGCCTAACTGTCCAGTGGATGCTGACCACCAAGGACCGGAGCCCGTATGATGGATGCTGGTTCTAAGAAAGGCAGAAGAATCTCAGCTCGGATCGGTCGGGGGCAGGCGGGGCATGGAACGCCTGGTGGTGAAGTGTGAAGGTGATGGTGGGAAGAGATGCTATTCATAGAAAATAATAAATCTTACCTTCCATGATTTCCCAGATCAGATATAGAGTTGTGAAGTAGATCCTGAGAATTTCAATAACAGAAGAAATACAAAAGGCTATGGTAGTTTAAGGGAGATGCATTCTAAGTAAGAGTAAAAATATAAAAAAAGATTGCATGGAATGGGAGATCTCAAGTGAAAAGAGTGGCCAAAGAGGCTGAAGAGGGACTGAGGGAAGGGATCCGGCCTGGTGTGACAAATAATCCCAAGCCAATGAGAGCACGATACAGGCAGAAAGCGAAATTGCAGAGTAGGAAGAATGTTGGATAGACACAAAGCGGGAGACCAGCTGGTTATAGATAGGCTTATCCTGGGTCCAAGCAGAGCCATCGGGGGTTTTAAACAGGAAGCTGACGATGCCCCAGTTTATGGTAGGTCTGAGCTAGCTGTACTGGAAAGAGGGAAGATTGGAATGAGGAAGCCAGAAAAGAACCTCATGTCTGCATAGGCAGGGTAGGTATGTGGGTAGGTAGGAAGGAAAGGACCAAAGGAAAGAAGGGAAAGAAAGCACTCTTGAAACATTGAGAATGAATTTGACAGGATTAAGTTGGGGTAGAGTCTAAGGGGAGAGAATGAAATATGACTGAGGCCTTTAATTTGAAGAATTGTGGCTGATGTCTCGTGTGGGGAGAGGGAACTCAGGGAGAGGAGCCAGCAGCACGCAGGGAAGGAGGCAGCAAGAGATGTGACTGAGTGGGAAACACAGGACAAAGACAAAGGGCCTCACAGCCTTGCGTGCCTGGAGTGTCCCTGGCAAGGTCCTTTCCCATGTGTGATCTCAGAACCGAGGAGGAGGAGGAGCCTGTGGGCATCTACAGAGGGGTCCAGCCTGGCCCATCACAGGTACAAAGACTATGGACCTCCAGGAATGGCTAGAAACAGAAGCCTGAGTTTGCTTGCACTGCAGAAGAATGGCTTAAGCTGGGGGAGTAAATAAAGCTCCAGAGAAAGTAAGTTAAGGGGAAAAAGTGTGAAGACTAGACTCTTTAGGATGCTCTAAAGTACACTGTTATTATTTCACTGCTAGGGGTGGAACTCAGAACTTTGTACATGTCTGGCAAGCGTTCTACCACTGAGCTACATCCCCACCCGTGTTTTGAACTGAAGGGGAAATCCGCCTGTCTGATGAACTCTAGCTCCTGGATTCTCAACAAAGCAGATGCTTCACAAAGAGTCTGAGGTATTGTTTCTTGGCATCAGCTCCATTCTACCCAGTCCCGGTTCATCTTGACCGTCACCTTGATTGCATGAGAGACTCCCAGAGAGGTGGCTGGATGGTGAGGGCACTGACTTGGGTTCCAAGTTGAACGGGCCATGAGCAGGTGGGACGTGGGGGCCCTGTCTGGCCCCTCGCCCCTTCCTTTCTGTCTCTCCCCTCAATCTCTTCTCCCAGATGCCATTAGAGTTTTCCTCTGCCATGAGGGTTCTCTCTTGAAGCAAGCTGACCATGAACCGAAACCTCTGAAACTGTGAGCTGGATTAAACCTTTTCTGCACTGAATCAAGTCCAGCAGCAAGAAAGCTGACTAATAGTGTGATGTAACCAGAGATGGTCCAGCAGCCCTAGCAGAAGCAAGACAGGAGAGCATGTAGGTGTTGCTTAGTTTGTCTGAGCATCGGGAAAGCCAGCCACCACATACTCTATGTATTTTCTCTTGCAATTGAGCCTGGAAGACTGAAAACTGTGTTCACCAGGCTCTCCTGGCAGCGAGGCTCTGTGATGGGAGATCTGGCAGCCCCAGTGGTTTGGGGAGCAGTGCTAGCTCAGCACAGAGACAGCGGTTCTTGCAATGCTAGCCGGAGTGTGGGTGTGGGGGTCCTGGGAGTCACTCCATCGAGTCTACAAGTCCCTGTGTTAACCTTCCACTATGTAAAATCCTCCAGATTGACCAATGCCTTACATATCACATAGGGAGAGCTGCTACCATGTGGAAGTCACGTAACACATTCTTTCAAGACTGGATGTACAGAAGATCCCACAGTCATAAAAGCAATATCCTGATCCACTGCAGCTGTATTCCAAGTTTCTTTATACTGATTACAAAGTTGAGTCAATGAATTCCTTTCGGAACAAACTGAATTGAGCTACAGTCATGAAAGCACAGATTCCTGAAATTCTGCCCAGGAGAGAAACATAGAGGAAAGTCTAGATTTCCACAGGGAGAGAGCATTGCACTCCCACCACCAACCTGATTCTGACCCAGCTGCACGATTCCCCAGGTCCACTGACTAGAGGGACACAAAGCTGAGTAAGGAAGGCCCTAGGGGAAGGGGTGTAGGCATCAGGCTGAGCGAGCCCTTGAAGGGTGTTTGGACGCCAGCCCCTTCTTTCTCTCTGTCCTCTCTGGCAGTGCAGTGAGCAGCTTTTCTCTGCCACATGCTCTCCTCTAAGCCAGGCTTCCTTCCCCAGCCCGGAGAGGCACCAAATGGTCAGAAGGAAACCTCCAGACCCCTGAGCCAAAACCTCTTTCTCCTTAAGGCCGATTATCTCAACTATTTGTTACAGTAACAGAAAGTCAACTGACACAACTACTGATAAAAACAATCTTTATAAAGAAAACAACCTCACACAGAGAGCATTAAGTATGAGCCTGGCACCATACAGATCACTGAGCATTCGTTATTTTATTGACTCCTGAAAATGTCCCATGGTTGGTTTCTTGGTAGCCTCTCTTTTGGGAAATGAAATGATACACTGGAGAAATGGAAGGAGTGTCTCTGGGTCACATGGGATAAGAGAAAGAACCTGAATACCTGATTTGTAATTTTACAGAAGTCACTGTTTTCCAAAAGAACTACGGAGAAACAAGGCCTAATGAGCTGCAGGAACTGGCCTTAAATTACCATTAAATCAAAACTAAACCATGATCCATTACAATTTTGCAAAGTAGAAAAATTGCTTTTGAGAGAGCTGTTCAGAGCTAGATAGAATTCTGTGTGCAAGTGTCTGAAATTCACATAACTGCCTCTAAGCAAAAAGTGTCAAGAAGCTACTATTTGAGAATAATCTATGTTATTTCTTCTCCATTTGCTCTGGACTGTTCTCTAAGGCAAAATTTCAGTGACAAATACGTTGTTCCTGAATGCAACTGGGGAAAAAGCCATCATCGCCAAGGAAGGGAATGTACTGTTCTCTCCCTGAAGAAGGAAAATGTAGTAAGACCCTCCTAGGCAGTGCTATCCATTTGGAAGGCACTGACAGGGAGTATAAATAGAATCCAGAGAGGACAGAGGACTGGAATTAAGGTGACCTAATTCTGTCAGCGTTCTACTGACCCAACACCACCACATAAGTAATCGGTCATTTCCAGTCTCATTCCTGCTGCGTGTGCAACTGGCCACAGGTGCACCCCAAACCGGGTACTCAGAAGAGCAGGCGTCTTCCCAGCAACAGAGTGGGCATGGAGGGGGTCAGGGAACGTGAGGAGGGAGGTGAAAGCTGCCAATGGGTGCGAGCGGGCGTGCAGCCTTATCACAGGCTTCGCCACTCACTCGTGGTCTAACATGGCCTGAACATAGGAAGTGGAACATTGCAGAAATAAACACCCACCAGTCTCACACTGTGCTTCTTTCTGAGCAGCGTGCTAGAATCCCGTGTTACCCCTTTGCCCGGCTTTGAGCGTGAATCACGCAGTGTGTTGAGCAGTCTTCTGGGGTTTCAGATCCTCTGCTGCACTGCTTCGGGGCTGGGTTCAGGTGACCTGTATTTTACTCACTATTGGCCCCAAAGCAAAGAAATAGAAGTGCTGGCAAATCCGATATGCCGAGGAGAAGCGGTAAAGTGCTTCCTTTATGCTTAAAGATGGAAGAATTCAACTCCAGCAGGAAAGAAAAATAAATGTGTGCTGAATTTGCTAAGATCTACAGTAAGAGTAATCCTCTGTCTATGAAATCATGAAGAAAGACAAAGAAATGCATGCTGGTGTGTCTGTCACACTGCAAAGTGCTAAAGCACGGCCACTGTGGTTAAGTGCTTAGCTAAGAGGAAAACAGGAATGGATTATAAGGTTCAGTATTAACCATGGTGGTTCTGGAACACTTCCCCCTGCGATATAAGAGAAGACAGAAGAACAGAGCGCAGACTATTCCAGCGGTGTCGGGAAGCTAGCATAACATTTGCTTGTATTCCATGTTGTAGTTTGCAAAATGCTTTATGAAACCCCCAGTGCAGCTTCTGAGCTGTGTACTGGGATTGTCTCTGAGTCAGAGAAGAGTACAGAACTTCAAAGCAGGGAGTTGATTTTTCCCAGTCTCAGAGCTTCTGAGAGCTACAGCTAGACCTCCTGACCCAGATGTAGTATTCTGTCCTGTAAGACAGGTCTGTCATTGTAAATTGAGAATCCAAGGAAAAATCATTTAGATTTCATGAAATGCAAGTTTAGGAAAACATGTATGTACATCAGGACCTTTCAAAAGCGCTCTCAGTGTAGTTTGGAAGGAAGCTAAGACATTAGAAATGGCTGTTACCTCACTACTGAGAGCCCAGCTCCGAGGTAATTCAGCACTGGCTCTGACACCTCCTCAGCATCCATTCCAAACCAGCCAAACCTGGAAAGTCAAGCACAGAGAATTAGAAATTGCTGAGATGCCTTATCACATTATTGAAGGACATGGACTTGGAGCCCTGTTTCTGGGTTCAAATCCCAGCTCTCACAGTTGCTAACTTTAACTTTGGTTAAGTTATTTGAGTGTGCCTCAGTTTTCCACATTAAAAATGGAGAAATAACTGTACTTATGGTATAGATTGCTATAAACATTGAATAATGTTTAACATTAACTACTTACTTGTTAGTACCTCTTTTAAGAATAAAGAAGGAAGAGGAAAAATATAGTTCAAATGGTGGGATAAATACTAAATAATGGGCTGGAACTTTTTATTTAATTTTTTTTGTGGTCCTGGGAATGGAACTCAGTGCCTTACACAGGCTAGGCAAGTGCTCTACAATCCGGCACTTTAAAACGTACTTTAAAATGGCTTCTTGGTTGAAAATTCCTATTCTTTGGCATTAATGAATTTTTTCATGCTTTGACATTGCCATGATCGCTACAAAGCACCCTGGGAACCATCTTGGAAGGAAAGAATGCAAGGCCAGTAGAAGAGGCAGTAGTATTTGTAAACGTCAGCACTGCTGAATGGGGAAGGAGAGGGAAGAAGATATATATCGGAGGTGAGGGGAAGTGGAGCCCCCACAGGGAGGCAAGGGCGACACTGTCCGTCCTACTCACTTCCTCGACTTGACTTGAGTGTTGATCTTCATGCTGGCTGAGGGCACACAGCGCAAGAGACCAATCCATGACAACTGGGCTGGTCCGCATTGGCAACTATGATGGGGTGGTGTTACGGTTTATATCTAAAATGTACCCACAGCCTCATCTCCTCCCAGGTGGGGCTTTTGAGACTGAGTGGATCATGGGTGTGATACTGAATCAGTCCACTGAGTGGTTTAGCATAGTTCTGGGTATGGATGATGCATTTACTAGAGGCAGAAGATCCACCCTGGGTATGAATGACACAAACCGAGAGGCATTGAGCCTGAATGGAATAAAATAGGAAAGGGAGGCTCATAGCTGCTGCTGCTTTTTCCTGCCTGCTCTGCCATGGACTGTTTCTGGAACTAGCCAACTATGTGCTGAAATCTCTATAACCTGTGAGCCAAAATAAATCCTCCTTTGACTTGTGGGTCTCAGGTATTTTGTCCCAGCAATGAGAAAGTAACCAAGACAGGTGGCCTCTACTCAGTCATGGCTACTGAGCACTCAGAATGTGGCTACCAGAACTGAGAAACTCCATGTTATATTGATATCAATTTTAATTCATTTAATTTCCATGTCAATGGACACCTGTGGTCTGTGGCTATTCTAGTGAGTAGCACAACTCTACAACTGGGGTTGGCAAACTTTTACTTAAAGGATCAGAGAGTATGTTAGGCTCTGTGAGCTGACATTGTCCTGAAATTACTCAGCTCTGCTAGGTAGAGGAAAAGCAGATGCAGCCCATTCTGAAAAGGATGAGCATGGCTGTGTTCTAATAAAACTTTACACACAGAGTGAGAAGACTGAGCCACAGATGCGGATCATGCAAGAAGAGAGGGACAATTATGTACTCTAGAATCACAAGACTGGGTTTTGGCCTGGGTTCCTAACTTTGAGACTGTCTGGAATCCAAGCTCTTGGAGTACCAGCTCTCACAACACAGCACTCCCTTTGCATGTATATATAGAATTTTGCAAATGAGATGAGAATAATGTCTATAACATGCCCAGCAAACACTCACACAATAGAAAGGGAAAATAAATATCACTTCCCTGTCTTTGTACTTGTTTATTAGATATAATTCTTTAAAACTTTTTTTTCATTTCATTTTGATTTTTTTGCTATAACTTGATAAAATACCTAGAACACTTATGAAGAGTTTAGGAGAAACAATAATTAAAGCTGGCACATTTTATGTGTGTATTTTACCAGCTGTAATCTCTTGGAGAATAAAAACTGTATGCTATTCTTTGCAGCTAGCATAACCCTTGGCAGTTATCATATGTTGATCATAGGTACAGAGAGACTTAGTTGAAAGTTTGACCACATTACCTTGAGCTTGCCCAGCCAGTCACAGCATTAAATGACCCCCAGATTAGGATTCCAAGGCCTAGACCAATGGTTTTGATAATGGGGACAACAGCAATATTCCCTGTAGATGCAATATAAAGAAAAAAATTATTTCCAGTGTAGAAAGTACATATATTCTTTAACTGAATCTCATGGGATTTGGACAAATTTTGTATAGCCCTTCATTTTTAAAATAAACATTTTTGGCACCACATTTATGATTGTGATTCCTCAAAGAGTTAAGTTAAAGGAAAACCCCTACAAAGAAAGAAGCTAAATCAATCTCTAAGCTTGCTGCACAGATGCCGTCCATCATGGACATAGGTTTCTCCTACTGGACTCTGCAGAGGCTGTCGATGATGAAATTAGCGATCATCCCCTTAGATTCAAACTGGTGCTGACAGCTGCCAAAGCCTTTGGCCCCACTATGGCCCCCAAATTTGCTGTTCCACACTCACTGGCTTCTCTTCCAGATTTTCACAGTAATTACCTCGTGTTCTGTCAGCATCACTTGGGGCCTAATCCATGATTGTTTTTAGTTATTATTCTTGTCGCTGTGGTTGTTTTAAATGGGGCCTTACTATATTGCCCAGGATAGCTCCCGGGGTCACGCCATCCTCCCACCTCACCTCCTGAGTGACGAGCGAGGGTACAGGTATGTGCCACCAAGTCAGGCTCATGCTTGCTTTTTGTGTTTTATAGTTCTTAACCCCTCAGCATCCTGGCCTCATCCTGTAACCTCTTCTTCAAGCTTTCTTCTTTGGACTTCCAAAATGCTCCCCTCTCCTCTCCCAGCTCTCTTTAGCTCTGCTCTGACTGCTCCTCCTCACCATACCATCTACACTGATGTGTCTCCCAGGGATTTCCCCAGAACACACTCTTCTGCTTGTGTGATAATTCTTTGGATGCTTGACCTAATTTCATGATTGCAGCTGTCAAACAGGGGCACATGAGCCCAGCGCTGTAGCTGCTGAATGGACCCACTGGAGTTTCAGCAAGATGCTCCATGCTGATGCTGGAGATCTGTGGGTGGGTGTCCTCTAAGGAGGGAACATCCAGGCCCTTTAGACACAGAAGGTCCCAAATGGAACTCACCATGTCCCCTTCTAACATGTCCTTCTCCCGTTTCCTCATCATCTAAAATAAATGCCCTACATCACGGGCCCCTCCCTTTGCCCTAGGCGTCCATCCCCCACCTGTCGCTGTGACCCTTGGTATCCACAGAGGCAGCAGCCCTCGCATGAGTCTCTTCCCTGGTGACTGCTGGTGGAAGCTTCTGGATGAATATGCATCTGGTGGTTAAAAGACCTGCAGGAGCCAGGTGTGGTGGTGCACCCCTAGAATCCCACACTCTGGAAGGGCGAAGCAGGAACATCTCAAGTTTGAGCCCGGTCGGGGCAATTTTTCAAATCAGCAAGACTTTGCCTCAAAATTATAAAAAAATTAAAGAGTTTGGGAATATGGTGCGTTCAGTCCCTAGTACTGAAAAAAAAATTTTTTTTTTCAAGAAGAGGATGGGTGGGTTTGTCCTATTCCTCTCAAATTAGGTTCCACTCTGTTCCCCATCAGGCATGATAAATAGCAAATCAGAGGTATTTATGAGGTGTCAGCATATAAATTCTAGCAGCAGTTTAAAGATTAACTCTTTTGGTAGCTAACTCATGAACTTAACTAAGTCATTTAATCTCTCAAAGATTCAAATCAAGGGGTAAAATAATACACTAACAATTTAAGATTTTGTTTTTAACAAAACTACCTCTAAAGATCCTTGATTCTTTGTTAAAAATGAAAAAAAAAACCCTCTTTGGGGTGAATTTGTTTTGACAAGGGAACCATTTCTGACTGGTCAAGAAAATATATAAACTCTAGTTAGATAATTTCAGGTATGTTAAGGCAATAGAGGAAAGATATTTTCTTTGTTTTTCTGTTATCAGTACTCTTAAATGAATATAGATCTGTGTCACCTATTTTTAAGCATATCCTAAAAATGACAAAAGTATAGATCATTATTATTTTTTAATTTTTTTTGGTACCGGGGATGGAACTTGGCTACTTGCTCTTGAGAGGCAGGAGCTAGAACCACTGAGCCAAAGCCCTGGCCCTAGATCATTATTATAAACATTTTCTGATGAAACATGCTGGGGAAAGCAGGATCAGAACATGTAAAATAGCATACAAGTTACACATACAAAAATGATTCAAATATTTTGACCATAATGATTTTTCTATGAGCACTTAGAAATCATTGGAATAAATAAATCAGGAAAAGTACCAAAAATAGGGTTTACAATGAAGAAACTAGTTATTTTTATTACCTAAGGCAAAGAAGTATTCAGAATTACTGATTGTGCTATTTCTTTAAATCATGAATCAGTTATTTTGATTTTTATATGGAATGATTACATAGAAAGTTAGGTCACAGTTTACCTGTTGCCCAAATGCAGCCTCCAAGCATCGCAAAAGGCCAAAACCGAGGGCAGTGGAGTATCAGGTTGACCACCAAGGCAACTAACCAAATGGCAGCACAGAGCACCCACTGAAGGAACATCCCTGGGAACAAGAGAATTGCCATTACTGTTGTAAATTGGTCCAAGTAAATTTGTGCTCAGGACCATCCATGAGGTATGACATAGGCCACATGTATTAAATGCCTACACTCCAGGCCCTTTGCATATTTTCTTCTTGCAACTACCCTGCATCATAATTCACCCTACTTTAAAGGCAGAGAAGACAAATCTGAGCGTAAATGAGAACAAAGACCTGTCATGTAAAGGTACAAGATCCCAATAATGAATGGAACTGTACTGTACACCTAAAATATACTAATAAACTCAATGAGGAAAAAAATTTTTTTAAAAAAGAAACTTGTTCTAGGAGCTATCATTCTGCAGAACTGGAATTTGAACCTAGGTTTTTGGACTCTGAAGCCCATGCACAGTGCATTCCTGCTCAATATTCTTTTCCCCCACTTAGCAGACAAATGGACAAGTTTTTGTCAGTTTTGGCAAAAACATCTTATCTTTCCTTTAAGATATCACAGTTGGCACACGCGTGCGTGCACACAAACACACACACACACGTACGAGGCATCAGGAACTTCAATAGCACAGCAGTGACTGAAACCTTCCCAAGCCACTTATGCCTACTCTGGATGGCTGGGTAGGAATGAAGTAAATGGTGCCTGCGAGTCTCACACAGCAGAGCTCACTGTGTGGTGAGCGCATCTTCCAAACCGCAGCTGCACTACCTTCCACGCTCCAGCTGCTTTTGGCCAGGATATGAAGAGCACCTGGGGAGGTGAGAGGCATCTCTACCTCTCTGGGGCTTATGGTTTACAATGATACAGTAGTTGACATTGAAAGAAATACTGAGACAGTTATAAATCGACCTATCACCTTTGACTCTGACTTTGGAAGATTTTTTGCCCATTGTGACTCACTGTCATAGGAGAGAGGAAAACAACTGGCTCCTAACTCCTAAGAAAGAAAATAGCATTACTGAGATGAGAAAACTCAATTTTACATATCTTTCATTTTATAAGTGAAAAACTGCCCACAAGAGAGCTGAAGAGACTTAATTAAGGCTTGAGGTATAGCTCGTCTAGGTCCCAGGTCCCAGGTCCTACGGAAGGAAGGAAGGGACGGAGGGAGGGAGGAAAGGGGAGGAAGAGGAGGAAGGAGGGAAGAAAGGAAGGAAGACGGCAAGCAGCTGAGCTGGCTCAGTCACATCCCAAAGCTAATTGTCAAAGACCTAAAAGCCATATCCTCTGCCCGTTTTTGTTGGTTTTGTAGTTTCCATTCCTGTCCCAAGTCCAAAGGAAAAGAGAAGGAAGACTCTAGAGGAAAGCAGTTTGTAATTTGATTGTGTAAGCAGTATGAAGACATTAGGAGTCTAAAACCAAGGGTAACAGGAACTTAATTCCCAATAGGTATTCACCATAGTATCTCCAGTTCCTTCTGGCTTGGACATGGAAGGCAGACAGATAGATATAACTTGTGTTTTCTTTACTAACAGTTATCTCATAGTCAGTTTTGCTGTGCTGTACATATACATTCCTAAAAATCTCCAGCACACAATGCAAAACTGCGCAATAAAAACAGCAAAATTTATAGGGAAGGTGGGGATTGGGAAGAAAAACACCCCCAAAATCCATCAGCGATGTATTTTTTTAGAAAGCAGTAAACTAACAAAAATGACAGAGCATTTTAATGCATGAGTGTTGGAATAAATATGGCATTTTTTGCTTGAGAAAGGCCTGAGGTTTTCTTCTGAACATGAGCGCTGGGTGGCTGGGCTTGAGAAATTTGTGAAGCTGGGGGACTGAGGTTCTGGTGCCAGGTGTGGATGGGGGCGATGCATACCACACGAGGTGAACTGAGGCGGCAGGAAGATATTTGGTGTCTGTGTGTGTGTGTGTGTGTGTGTGTGTGTGTGCGTGCATGGATGTGCACTTTGGGTGTTATTACACAGCTTTTTCTGTGTTCATTTAGTGTCTTACGGACACAACTGCTCACAAGTGAGCACTGAATTTGGGTTTTGCTCACTGTGTTTCAGAAGACATCAATCTGTGATTGGAAGACATCAGTCTGTGTTTCGAAAACAAGTGTCATTAGTAGAACTGACTGCAAGCTATTTCTTTTGTAAATACAGCAGATATGGCAGGAGGAAAAAGGTTTCCTGACAACAACAACCTCACCTTTGCCACGAAGCATAAACTTCCGGGCTATCCTGCGCTAACTCTCACATGACTGGCTTGGGCATTTTCCATGCTGACTTACGGTGAGCCTGTTCACCACCACACGGCAAATCACAACCTACTGCTAAAGCCGCCACTCAAAAAGGACAGAGAAAGACCCTTGGAATTAACTGTAGGTTATCACCGAAGGAAAAAGAATTACCGTCACCAGTGTCATATTTTTTAAGTGGTGCAAAATTTGACCCAAACAAAAGTATTGCTGCGAAAGAGGAGAGATAGCCGATGTCTAGTCCTGTCCCATTACTGCTCATGGTTCCGAGGTCCGCCCAAGAGAGAGCTGCTTCTCTTTAGACTTGTTGCACTTCTCCAGTGTTTCTGAAGTGAAAGAAACCAAAATGACACAATTTAAGAAGCAGGGAATCTGTGGACAAGTGATGCTTAATACTCGATATTTATTAAGCAACAGAACACTAAGGTTTCTTCTTGCAGATGGCTGGACATTACGTAATGATAGATTTTGTTCATTTATACTGTCAACAAATCTTTAAAATCACTAATATACGCTTTTTAAAACCTGTGTTTTCTTTCAGATAACCTGCATTTGATTTCATTGAATAAACCTGCGTTTATTCAATACACGTCTAAAAAAAGCTATCACTATAATATTAGATTTGGAATGAAAAGGGGGTTCTGCGCATGCAGCTGCGATACAGCCTGTTTATGTCCTTCAGTTCACGCCTGAAATGTAAGAAAAGCTTTTGCTTGTAAAGTATCTAATAGTTCTGAAAGGCAGCAGATGTTTCCACACTTGATCTTCACGGTACACAGTGGAAGTAAACAGAGTCCTAACCCCAAAATCTTTTCAAGGAACCAGTCCACCTCTGAAGGAGAATTTTCCTACAGTGCAACAAAAATTGGACCCAGACCTTGGAAGAAGTTAGATTTCCAGGTTCTGAAGAAAATGCGTCAAGGAAGTTTAAGCCCAGCAGTGCCTTCCAGAAGCTGCTGCCCAGGTGTGGAGGGTAAGGGTCACACAGATACAGGTGCTAAGATAAGCGGTCAGAACGTCCAAAGGGCACGGAGGCCTAGCACCGCCTGGGAGGGGGCAGGATCGCAGGACACACCGCAGATAGGGTGCTAGCTAGGAGGTCGAACTGTTCCCATTTTCGTTACAGTTAAGCAGAGCCAAACCAAACCTGTGTGAAGTATGTTGAGGGGAAGGTAGGGAAGGCCTAGCAGTTAAAAGTGACAAATTGTTTTAGGCCACTGCCAGTAGTCTGGGGCTGGAGGACAGCAGGGGTCTTGACCTAAGCAGCCCACTTCTTCACACACAGGGCGGGGCATCTGGGAAAGATCCAGACCGACTTCAGGGTGGGCGGGCAGTAATGCACAGGGACAGTCCCCTTGTTTAAAATAAATGATTGTGTGTGTGTGTGTGTGTGTGTGTGTGTGTGTGTGTGTGGAAAAGTGCTGTCGGTTTAGCGATTTCTTTTTTTTTTCTTGCAATTTTAAAAGCACATACCTAAGTTTCAAACTATTTTTAAAATTTTAGTTTGTTATTCTTTTTTCTTTAAAAAATGTATTAAAGGGGCCGGGGATGGGGATTTAGCTCAGCGGTGCCGCCTGCCTAGTAAGCACAAGGGCCGAGTTTGCGACCTGCGGGAATATTTTGAAAAAATGCATACGATGTGTAATGTTTAACTCAGATTAAATGTATTGACTCGCTCAAGTAGTCATCACTTTGATGGCGAAACCCTTCAAAATCCTGCTTCAAACTACTTTTACGTAAAACCAAACGTTATCCTAGTCTTTACTCCGACGTGTCCGCCGCAACTGTATTAAGCTGTATTCATTCGTTTTGTAAATTTGCACCTCTTTGGTTCCATCTGGTAGTAAAAAAAAACCCTTCTCTGGGAAACTTACACTTCCAGCCCGGGCGCCCTCCACGCGAGCGCGGGCTCCCGTTCGCGCCCAGCTCGCTGCCGTTTCAGTTTCAGTTTTAAAGGTCCTCAAATCCCCGGGCGGTCTCTGCCTGAGCCCGGGGCTGAGTTTTAGCTACAGATCGCGGGGACCCGGGGACCTGGAAGATCTGGACTCACCGCGCCGGCCGGCCCGCTCCGCCGTCTCTGCCCGCTCCTCCTCCCTGACTCCTCCTCCGTCTGCAGTGCAGCCTTCCTGCTTCGGGGCCCAAGACACGGTGGGGCACGCCCTGGGGCCCTCGGGCCACCGGCCAAGCAGGAAGGCCCTGGTGGTGAAGCCGTCCAGGGAGGTGATTGCCCTCCCTCCGCTCCCTCCTTCCCTTCCCGTCTCTTCCCCTCTCTTTCCTCCCGCTTTTCCCTCTCTTCCTCCTCCCCATCCTTCCATCCTCCCCACTTCCTCTCCATACCAGAATCTCTGGGGCGAAACTCAGGATTTACTTCTTTTAAAACCTCCTCCTAGAGACCCTCCTGTGGAGCCAGACTTGAGAACTGTATTCCGAATCCACACTTGTCAAACTTTCCTTTCTGTAAGAATCTCCCGGGCAGTGGGTTAAAATGCAGGTTGCCTAGATTTTGAGAAACGTTGCTCCGCGTGTACCTGCTGGACGCCTTTGACCTTAAATTGGAACAAAAGTTAAAGGAGAGCGAGTTATTCAGCAGTGCGCTCGCCCAGCGCATCTCCAGCTGCCAAGCCAAGGGTTCGGGCTGGAGACCCTCTCTCTGGTGGCAGAGTCCTGAGGACACACAATATGGACCTTGGCCCATCAAGCGCAGGGAGCCAAAGGCAGGCAAGCTCTGAAAGCGGCAGTGCTGAACTCTGTCGCTTCCCAGGCCAAGGGAGGCCGGGGTGCAGAAGGGTCATTTCACAGAGGCCAGCCGGACAGTTAACAATCCGGAGGAGGAAAGCACACTGAGCACTGTAAAAAGGTGCGGCTTCCTGGGAGGAAGTCGCTCTTTCAGTGTCAGGCACGGTCAGATGGCAGATGGGACAGAATTAAAGAAGTGAGGCCTTTTCACTTGCACGGTGAATTGAGCAATTCAGGAATACTGTGGACAATGCAGTGCCCCGTGCTGCGCATGCGTGCTTCTCCAGGCCCAGCTCAGTCTGCTGTGCGTGGCTTTATTGTGCTCCGCAGGTGCAGGGTTGGTTTTACAGTGTGAAGGTTTGCGACTCACAGGGCGGAAATCTATTGCCGTTTTCCCAAAGGTGTGCGTGTCCCCGTGTTGGATTTTGGTCATTCCCATGGTGTTGCAGACTTTTCCAGCATCATGGTGTTCGGACAACCTGCGCTGTTGACGTTAGCAATGCAATCCCTGTGGAAGCAACTCAGCAAGGTGGGGACTTCGCGGGTGAATGTGTGCGCCCACCGCCCCAGCCTCAGGCTGCCTCCTGGTTTCCCCTCAGACTGCTCTCTTACCTGAAACAACTGAAGCCAAATAGTTCCCTACCCTGCAGTGGCCTCTCAGCGACCAAGTCAAAGGGAGAGTCTCATTTCTCTAGCTTTACATCACAAGGTAGAGCCCGGATTTGGCTCAGTGGTTCCACTGTTTGCCTGGCAAGTACAAGGTCCCTAGTTCGGTCCCTGGTACAAAAATAAATAAGTAAATTAATTAATTAATTTTAAAAATCACAAGTTGGAAATGGCTAACAGTAAGGCAGTGCATAGAAAGACCAGACCTGATGGGAAGAAACATAAAATTGTGGAAGGAAGTTCAAAGTGCTTTCTCCACTTATATCTTCTTTTGAGAAGTTTTGAAAAGTTCAGATCATTTACCTATTTCTAAACTGGGCTACTTGTTTTTTTTTATTATATATGAATTTGAGGTCTTTATGTATTCCGGATATGAATTCTCTATAGATAAAAAGTTGTCAAATATTTTCTCCCATTCTCTGTGTTTTATCTTGTGTTGTTTCCTCTGCTGTGTAGTTTGATGTAATTCCACTTGTCAACTTTTGCTTTTATTTCCTGTTCTTTTGAGGAGCATGTCTAGAAAATCATTGCCCGTACCAATGCCTAGAAGTGTGTTCCTTATGTTTTCTTTCAGTCATTGTATTATAGATAGCTGAGTTCGGTAGGAGTATCATAGGTAGTCAGATAAGGCTGAGTCCTCAAGAGAGACAGGACAAAGGTGAAACGCACTGCAGCTGTGGCCAGAGATAGATCTGTTGGAGACAAGGCTTCAAGATAAGGACAAGATGACACACTTCCTGCACACTTCCTCAGAGGACAAACATGGGGCCCAATGAAGTCTACATAGATATCGGGTACCTTGGTAGGTGGCCAGAAATCTTTGGACCCATCATTTCCTAGAAGTCTTTGTTCTTTAAGTCCACACTTGTTAGAGGACTTGTTTCCCAGTTGGACCACCATTACCTAAGTGACTGTACTTGTGACCTTACTGTCTGATCGTGGCTGTGGCATATGTTGTACCCATGTGAGTTTTGCTCTGTAAAACTCCTCTGCAAAGTAGGGTTCCCAGATACCCATTTGGGTCCCCTTCTGCCTCCCAGGAGTTCCCTATCAGTAAATATCTTTCTACTTTTAACCTCTTGTTCCTAGAATTAATTGACTTTTAGAGACCATGAGCTCAATGCATCAAACATCTAAATATTTCATATTTCATCTACAGTATAATTTCCTGTATCTATTTGAGAGTTTTAGGTCTTTTGTCCATTTTGAACTGATTTTTATGAAAAATGCGTAAGATCTTTAACTATCAGGGAAATGTAAATCAAAACTACAATGCTATTCCTACTCATCCTGGATAGAAAGGCCATGGGCAAAAATACCAAAAATTAGGAAATGTTGGCACTGTTGATTAAATTAGTACAGACACTGATCTAGGTTGTATCTAGATGTCTCCTCAAAGCTTCATGTATTCACACTTGGTCTTTTGAGAAGTGGCTGGATCACGGGTGTGTGAACTGGATTTAGGTGTATGATATTGGATTAGTCCCTTGACTGGTGTATTATAATTCTGGGTATAGCTCTGGGTATGGATAATAAGAAGGCCCACTCTGGGTGTGGATGGCACGAACCAGTCGACTTTTGGCTTGCATGGAATAAAGGGAAAAGAAGGTCCTTTGCTCATTGCTTTCCTGCCTGCCACACCATGGACTGTTTCTTTTCTGTTATGTCACTCTGCCTTGAAGCCACCCCACTATGGACTGAAACCTCTAAACACTGTGAGCTAAAAGAAACCTTTCCTTCTTTAACTTGTGGTTGTCAGGTATTTTGTTCTAGCAACAAGTAAGTAACTAAGACAGGAACTGTGGAAGAGTATGGATGTTTTTCAAAAGACTAGAAATAGGACTGATACATGATCCAGCTATCCTGCCCTTGGTTATATATCTAAAGGAAATGAAACCAGTACACCATAGAACACCTATGTCCACATTCATTACAACACTATGCACAATAGCTGAGTTATGGAATCAGCCTAGTGACTATCAACAGATGAATGGATAAAGAAAATGTGATGTATATACACAGTGGAGTATTATTCTGCCATAAAGAAGAATGAAATCCTGTCATTTGTAGCAAAATGGGTGAAATTGGAGGACATTATTATTAACTTAAATAAGCCAAATACAGAATGACAAGTAGCTTGAATTCTCGTGCATAGGTGAAAGTTAAAGAAAATTACAATAGTAATTAATTACTAGAGATTGAGAAGGGTACAGGGAGGAAGAAAAGGTGGGAAAGGGTGGTTGAATTTGATCAATGCATACTGTGCGTCTATATAGACGTAGCATACTAAATTTCATTAGCATGTAATTAACATATTAATAAGATATTTAAAAAGAAACAATGATAAGGTGAAACAGCCTTAGTGATAAAATGGAGAAAACCTTAGTGGCCTAGGTAAGGAGAATAAACTGACCACAACATTGCCTAAAAATCTAACCTGGAATAAAAAAGATATGGTGGAAATAGCAAAACAACAACAACACAAACTGGAGTTAATAGTAGAGCTGTTTCTGAGGGTCCTAGACCAGGGATTTTGGACAGCTGGAATCTGTTCACTTTCCAGTACCTGTGACCACATTAAAAGTGCTGAAGTGTAACAGAGGTGGATTATAACAGAGAGAGCTGCAATAATCAGGCTCTGTTTAAGGGAAAAATATCTAAGAAAACCTGAGTACCATAGGGGGACCAAAAAGGACATCAGAAAACATTAAAATATATACCTATATGTCATGGTTTGAATCTAAAATGTCCCCCAAAGTCTCATGTTCAAAAGTGAGGCATGGAGGGAAAAAGTGGGTCACTGGGGATGAACTATTCTCATCCCTGGCTCCTCTCTTTCTGCTTCCTGGCCTCTGTGAGGTGAACAGTTTTCCTCCACCAGGACCTTCCATCATGTGGTTTCTACTTTGGTACTGGTTTGCCATGGACTGACCCCTCTTAAACTGTGATCCAAAACAAACCTTTCCACTTTTAGGCTGGCAGTGCCAGATGCTCTATTTTGTCCTAGGGATGGAAAAGTAACTAACATACCACAGCTGAAGCAAACATTAAACTCAGTCTAACTTTCATCAAGGTAAATATAGAAACTAAAGGTATAGTCACCTCATTTCCTAGTATCTAATTACCATGATTAGCTTTCAACAAACATAGGATATGCTACAGGGCAAGGAAAAAGAAAAGAACAGCACATTTGAAAAGAGAGAACAATTCTTACAACCAGAGTCAGATAATCAAAGATTTTGGAGTTGTTAGCCTGAACATTTAAAACTGCTGTTATTAATATGCTAACAAAGCTATTGCAAAAAGGGGGACAATATGCAGGAACAGAAGTGTAGTATATATAAAATAAAAAACACCATCTGCAAAAGAAATCAAGGATGCTTTTGACACTTGAAAAAGAATTAGTGAGCTTAAAGATTTGCTAATATAAACTTCCTTAAATGTAAAGATAAAACAGAATTTAAAAAAGGACCAGGATGTCCAATAACTGTAAGGCAATTAGAAAAGTCATTACGTGAAAGTAATGGGAATGCAACAGGAAAAAAAGAAAGAAAAACAGGTATTAAATATAACAATGGCTGAGGATTTTCCAAAATATCAGACACCAAACTGCAGATCTAGAAAGCTCAGGGAACACAAAGGAAGATAAATACAAACAACAACTGCATGTAGGCATGTCATAGAGAGAAAATATGGAAGGAAACCAGAGGGAAAAATCTACACCTTATCTGTAGAGAAGCAAGGCTAAGAATTGTAACACTCTTTGCAAAAGCCAGGAAAGCAAATGGAGAGTGTGGTGAAATATTAGTGTTGAAAGGAAAATCCACCAACCTACAATTCCAGTATAATTATCTTCTAGAAGTGAAGGTGAAAGGAAAATTTCCCAGGCAAGTGAAAACTGAGAGAATTTGTCATTAGTAGACTTGCCTTGGAAGACATGTTAGAAGAAATTGTTTAGAGAGAAGAAAAATGATACAGATAAGAAAGTCAGATGAATGTGAAGGACAATTTGAAAGAGAACAAATAGCAAGCAGATGCCCAATAAGGATATAATTAACTGAACAGTATCATTGTCATCTCGATCTGATTGAATAATTATATAATATTTGCTCTAGCCATAGCAGAGTGCGTTTTCTTTGCAACCTCACGTAGAATATTGCCTAGATGGACTACATTTGGGACCTGATACATCTGTCAGAACATATAGAAAGGTACAAGATAAAGAGTACACTCTACTGCAAACATTGGACTTTACTTCATAATTATGTATCAAATTTGGTTTACCAATTGTTTTGGCTTGTATCTAGATGTTCCCCCAAAGCCTCATGTGCTCATAGGTGGAGCTTTTTGGAGGTGGCTGGCTATGGATTAAAGGCACGATGCTGGCATTAAGGGTATGATGCTGTGTGTGGATTCCTCCATCAGTTGTTTTAGCATAGTCCTGAATGGCACCACCCAAAAGGTAGGT